GGCCGGGCCCCCGAGGCTGCCCCCCAGCGAAAAATATGAGGGAGGGGGCACCCGTGCGGGAGTATCCACGGTGCGAATATCCACACGCAGTGTCCGCAGCGGGATATCTGCACTGGGAATGTCTGTGCCAGGGGTGTCCGTGTGAGGCTATCCGCATTGGGAATGTCCACACCCAGTGTTAGCACCGGATATCCAGACCAAGGGCATCCGTGTTGGGGGCGTCTGTACTGGGATATCCACACCAAATCTATCTGCACCGGGGATAATCCATACGGGGAATGCATATTGGATATCCACGCTAGGGATGTCCACACCGGGAATATCCACATTGGATATCCATACAGGATATCCACACCAGGTCTCCATGCACACACCCCAGCCTAGGGCAGTGCTCCCACTATGAAGCTGTAGCTGGAGACTGTATTTCTACACCCGCTATTTTCCCTCTTCTAACTGCAGGCAGTTGGGATGCAAATGGGCAAGAAAAGGGCATTTCCGACAGCGCTTCCACCTGCCAGAAACCAGGATCGGGGGAGAGGACCCGGCCTCTGCACTGAACCTGCCTGCTGGGTGCTACCAAATGCTCCGACACCGCTGCCGTCGCGGCAGTGTTCCTGTGGCGGGGCTGTACGCCGGGAACGCGCGTGCGGGCTTGGCATGCGTGAGCCGGAATCACCCCACGCGACGGAGATGCCCTTCAGCCCCTGTCACCCGCCTGCGTGCATGCACTTCTCAGCATGAGAAAGGCTGTTAATGCCATGCAATAGGGGAAGCAAATTTTTATGATATACATTATGCATCTTGTGTACCAGCAATAAATAAATGCTGTTGTTCCCTTGGGATGATGTAGATGCTGAGCAATGTATGCTAAGGCAAAAATGCAGGAGGGTGTAATAAATACCTCATTAGGAGGTTTCAAAGTACAACTGCTTGTTCCGACTCAAATCAAGACCTGCTGGATGACGTGGCTCCCCATGTCTGAGGAATTAAGACAGAAACAGTACCACTCTCTTCAGGGGCTTCCAAAGAGCATAGCTAAATGATTACATTACGTAAACAGTGAAATTAGGTAAAGACAAACAGAACTTGAAAACATGTTCTTTATAATCCAATTAACTTGTGAGCACCTTGTTTTGAAAATAAGAAGATATGGGCTTGGGGAACCTCTTAAGGAGGTTGAAAGTTGTGTGGATGGCCAAGTCTGAGGGTTGGTGATTGGTGGCTCAGCATCCATGCGGATGTGGGGAGTGACAGCAACCAAGAGCTTCACAGTGACCTGGATGGAGCATCCTCATGCATCTGCAAACATCATCAACGTTCTCCTCTTGCCTTCCCCTTAAATAATCTCCCTGCAGGCCCATGGATTTCTAGTCCACTACTGTGAGAGGTAGGCTGTCACAAAAGAACTTGCTGAACGTGGGCTCTGTCCCCTCTTGGCCACTAACAGCCCAGTGTCTGCCTGCCTTTCCTCATTGCTGGAGAACAGCTAGGGCCACAGGAGGCAGGAAACCAGGCGGATCAGCATTGCCCATGAAGAAGCACATCTATTACCTATCCAGCCCAAAGTAACAACTCTCTTGGAAGCATTACGGCCTGCCTGCCCTACTCCAAGCCACCGGTGCCCTTGAGATGTTCCCAGGAGGGTATCGGGCGGCAGGGATCTGTCCATGTGTGAACACAGCAAGGCCAGTTATAACTTCTGTGGAAAACCATTGCTCCAGCCCAGCTTTGCTGCACCCCAGTCCTGCTGAGATTAATTTAAATCTGCAACACCGTTACTTAACATGGAAAAAAAAAAGCTGGCCGTTCAGTTTGCCTGAAGGGAACTGCGCAACCGCAGCAGGCAAGAAATCCGCGTGGCCTCCAAAACGCTCGGGAGAGCGCCGCGCTTGCTGACGTCACCGTCGCTCACTAAGGAAAAGCAGGAAAGAAGGAAAACTACAGCTCCCAGCAGCCTGCCCGGGCCCGGGCAGGACAGAGTTCACTGTCACGTTGACAGCGGAGGGTTAAGGGTGCGGGGCCGGGGAGCGGGTGCCCTGCCAGCCACCGGGCCTGGGGCCTCCGGGGCCGTTGCCAGCCCCCTCTTCCAGCCCCTCCGCTCCGCTCTGCCGCCTGGACCAGCTCCAAAGCGCCCGGGTAAGCGCTGACCCCCCCGCTGCCTTTGCTCCTCTGACTTCCTTGTTCTGTGCGCGGGATCCAGCACGGGGAGGGACGGGAGGGACGCGAGCCCAGTGGCATTTATACCCCCAGCTTTTTAGTCAGCAAGAAAACTTGGGTACAGAGACAGCATCAGGTGGTGGAAGGTGACCCCTCAGCTAGAAGAGGCTCTGATACTGAGATCCTGTGTGTCATGAGCATCTGCAGGAGCTGGTCCCCGGCTGGGGAAGTTTCTCTGGTGTTTCACCATTGCTCGCAGTCGCTGGCTGGTGGTCGGGTGAGCGCTGTGCTCACAAAACCTCTGGGCTGCAGCGACAGAGAAACACAAGCGTGGGGGAAGTCTCCACTTCCAGAGTGGAGAGACTCCTCTGAGACTCCCCTTCCGGGGGGTTCTGAGCTGTGCTCGAAACTCCGCGTTGCTTCTCTCAGCCCCATCCCAGGGTGCTTTCCGTAGAGAGTGGCTGTCGCGAGGATAGGGTAGGAAAGTCACTTCACCCAACAGCCAGATAAGTGCAGCAGGGAGTGGCCTCCTTCTCTACTCAATCTCGCTCTGTGCTTGTGCTTATCAGTTTTCCAGTCCTTACTGCAATTCCTGAGGCCCAGAGGGATGGTGTCTGCATGCAGGGTAGGATGTGCTCAGTCACGCAAGCACCGGAGGGACAAATCTGCTTATGAGCAAACCAGAAAGTGAAACAAAACTGTGGGAGCAGAGCCCACAACTCCAGGAGCGCAGGAAGATGGAGGAGAATCCAAAGGTGGACCTCTGCGGAGGTAAGTGACTCCCACGCGTGCTCCGTGTGCTAGGAAAAAACTACATTACAAGAAAATTCCAACAGTGAAAAGGGAAACCCAAAAAAAAGAAAGAAAAAAAAAAGAAAATATGAAAAAAAAAAAAAAAAAAAAAAATAAAAAAAAAAACCCTGTAAAAAAGCCAAGAAAAAAGCAAGCTGCTTTTTTTTTTTTTTTTTTAATTGAAGGACAAGGGTTAACAAATCACTTTCAGTTTTGGATTCTCAGCTGCAACAAGCCTAGACTTGGTGTCTGGGATTGCAGGCAAGACACGTCAGAGATCAGGGCTCTGAAATGGGAGCGGCTCTTGGCGGCGCCGCCTGCGAAGCTGGTTGTGGAGGGGTGCATGGTGTCTCGGGGGAGCACCCAGCAGGAGGGCAATGCCGAGGAGCGGCCCCCGGTGCAGGGTTACGCCTGGCGGGTGGCAGGGCTGGAGAGCAACTCCCTCCCATCACCCGTGGAGGAGGAAGAGGCTCTGTTAAAGGCTGGTATCTCACATGGAGCTGGCAGGCAGGCACACATTTCCCTCAGATACAACTCAGCTCAAGCACAGGATGCAAAGTCTGCAGAGCCCAGAAACCACAGATCTGCAGGTGCTTAAATAACAAGTCCTTCCTCCATCCTCTATGGATGGGAAGCCTCCCTTAGCAGGCAGGACAAGGCTGCAATGCTTTGTGCCAAGCTTGAATAGCAGAACACCTTGCAGGCCCCTCACATTTCAGCATCTAGCATGTGCTTACGTTCTCCTGGTGCCTTGTTACTACTGCTGCATGTGGTTATTTCAGTGATACTGAGATGCTACGATCAGATGAGACCTGTCCGATTCGTCTGGAGGTGTTCCCATGACAATCAACAAGAATGAACATAACCATGCTCTGAATGACACCATGTCTTGACATGGAACAAGTGCGGCCACTTTTCTGTTTTCAAATTAGCAGGGAATTCCTTGCCACCTTCAATCAATCTCTATTCTGATTTCAGCATGATCATTTCTGTCACTATAGTGCTTGATCCATAGGATCATTCACAATTAACTTTTTGCAAAGAGTGTGAGAGATAGGAGCTGCACTGTTTAGTTTTGTAAGATTCAGAATATGTTACAAATGCTGATGTTCAGTTCCAGAATCTCTGCTGAATTACCCTCTGATAATTTGCTTTTAATTTGCTGTTTCTACAATACTTTATCCTAACTGTTTGGCAGAACCACTGCAGAACAGGAACAGAGGAAGAGCACAAGGAGAGCTAACATTTAATTTTTCTTCAGACAAATACTCAAATTGACATTGCCTATTCTGGCCGATATCCATCTAGAAATGCTTTAAATCCATCAATTTAATTTACCAGCTTAGGAAAATAACTATCTGTAGAAGATGTTGTGACACAACCTAACATTTAAAGAATACTGTATCACAGTGTTAATGGGGTTTGTGCATTAAAAGCATTTCACATTATCAGCCTTGGACAGGTTGTAGTATGGATAGAGGAATGCATCCCTAAAAGTCATCATTCATTGTGTGGCCATGATTATGGACAAATACAGAGACCCCATCAATCCTTTTTAAAAGCATGAGGCAGCACAATTCATTGGTGATGGTGATTGGTCACAGTAAATTCTCTTCTTGGCAGTTTCCATATAGATGTTTCTGAAATGGAAAGACTGGAACTTTTGCTGCACGGTGGTAAAGGGGTGGGTTTTCCTGACTCCTGTATCCATAGCTGAGCTGTGAACTCTGATCCCAACAGCTGAGCCAGCCCAGAGTGAGGTGGAGAGCAAAGCACAGCATCCTGCTCACGAAGAGACTCCTCCAGAAACACTTGGTCACCAAGTGACAAGCAGCTGTCCTGGCACCTCCTGCAAACCAGAGAAAGATCCTTCAGTGGGCGAATCATCAACTGCTGATGGGGGGGAGGTGACAGAGTCAGAGCTGGCTGGCCCTACGGAAGAGGAGAAGGTCCTGCAAGAAACCAAAGAGACATTGGAAGAATCTGGGGAGACAGGAGATGGTGCCTCAGAAAGATCTCAAGCAGAAGATGACATGGATAGAGGTGAGTCCTCTCCCCATCTGCATGTTTGTATGGTATTTGCAGAATGCTGATGATCAGGGCCTTTGTTGGGAGGAGTTAAAACGAGGAAGGATTGTTGTTTCTTGTGCTGAAACTGAGCTTAGGTCTGTGAATTTTATTCCTTACAGGCAGGCTAGCCCAAGACAAAACGGAGAGCAAAGGGGAGAGCCCTGTCCAGCAGGAAACACATGGGCACCAGGAGACAGGCAGGCAACACAAGAGCTCCCACACACCAGAGGAAGATGATTTTTCAATAGACAAGTCACTCCACTCGGGCAGCGAAAGGGGACATTCAGGTCTGACAGCCACAGAAGGTGTCACCAGTGGCCTGTTGTCAGAGGAGAGCACCAGTGCCCCCCTCCTACATGAGGGGCCAGAGCACAGGGAGCAAGAAACTCCAGAGAGCGAATCCCACAGCATGCTAAGGAACAGACGTGGGACCGAAGGTGAGTTACAGTTGCACACTGCTGCTGCTCCTCTCTGCACATGCCTACACTTTGCAGAGACACTGCAAAAAGGTAATCTGGACATCTCCAGCACCTGTTGTCAGTTTTCCAGAGTCAAACAGGAAAGGAGGTATTTGCTTCTCAGCACAAAGTTAACACGCTTGTCTCCCTCCTCTTTGCTGTCCTGCTTCGAAAGGCATGGAACCATGCTTGGCTCTGCATGTTCCTTCCTCTTTGCTTGCTCAGAAAGCAGGAAGAGCTGGTACTCCAAGCAGTATCACTGTTCTTTCCGACTGTCTCAGCTGGAAGCTCCCTTTTGCTTTTCTTATTGCAGCTCCGCTTGCCTCTTCCTCAGCAGTGAGTGACAAATTTCCCTCTCTCACTTCAGGACACACAGCACAAAAGTCAGAGGCTCAATCCTGCCTGCAGAACGTCACCCCCCAAAACACCAAGCAGGAGATGGCTAAAATGCCCTTCTTGCTGAAAGGTGAGGAACAGAAGCTTCCCTTGCGGGTTACTCATCGTCCAGAAGGCACTGATCCTCCACGAACAAGTAAAGAAGCACATTTAATTATTCTTCTCTCTCAGGATCCTTCACAGTCTTTTCTGAGGGTTTGCGGGAATCACTGCCCATGGGATTTTAGGGAAACAGCTTCTAAGTGAAAAGCAAACCATACTCTTAAAAAGAGGCCCAGTTGGAGGCTGCTTTTGAACAGGGCTTTCACTGCAGCTCTCTAGTTTGAATGCAGTACTAACATGTCCTTGGAGGGCTGAGGCTAAGCTGATGGGCCTAGTGTCGCCAGCCCCGGTCACAAGACATCAAGCAGGAGCCATGGGGTTAATGTGCACCCTACACTCCTGCTGGCAGAGCTCTGATCCACAGAGATCCCACTTTGCTGTGGGGAGCAAAGAGCCGCTGTGGCCTGGCCCTTGACATCCTCCTTTTCTGGACAGGAGTACAGTTATCACTAGCATAGCTGGGAGGCAGACCAGGAACCCTCTGCTGGCTCAGCCACCTCTGCACATGGAGGCAGATGCAGCAAAAACTCACAAACCTCAAAGAAAACCTTAAAGAAGAATTGGCTAGGAAGGAAAGAAGCTTGTGACCAGCTCTAATCTCTTCAGGAATGGTGTCCTGGGACTCCAGAGCCGTAGCCTTGACTCCGTTTGTCGAGCTATAGCTCCTAGGCTGGTGTGCGGGTCCCACAACGTCTCTTGCAGGCCCTGGGGCCCTGGAACACATCAAAATGAACCATCTATGAGCGGCAGGGGGGAGGCTGGGGAGGGGAAGGAGAGCCCTCGCAACTGCTTCCAGAACATCACTGCTGATCCCTTCCAACTGACTTCTGTTTCCTGTCCCGGATCTCTCCCACTTAAACAGGTCTTGCACTCGTGCTCTTCGTACTGTTTGTCATCATCATCTACCGCTTTGGCATCCTGGCCTCCAAGTCCCAGCGAGTTCCCACGAACCCCATAGTGGAGGCCTTCGTGTCCCAGTTTAACGAGCTGCAGGACAGGTTCCCGGGGCAGAGCCCCCACCTGTGGCTTCGGGGGCGCAAGTTCCTGCAGAAGCACCTCAATGCGTCTCACCACAGCGAGCCAGCCATCATCATGTTCACGGCCGCGCGCGAAGGCAGGAGGACCTTGCAGTGCCTTTCAGCCCACGTGGCTGACACCTACGCAGCCGCCTTGCATGCCAGCACAGTCCACATCCATGGCACGGATAAATCCGGGCTCCAGAGTGACCAGGCCAAGCTGGAGGTGGACAAGGAGCTAAGCTCAGCTTTCCAGGCGGGGGGCCGTGCAGCAGTGATACACCACTTCGAGTCGCTGCCCCCAGGAGCCACCCTCATCTTCTACAAATACTGTGACCATGAAAGCGCTGCGTTCAAGGATGTAGCCCTGCTGCTGACTGTGCTGCTGGAGGAGGAGACGCTGGAGCCCCACATCAGCCTCCCCCAGGTGGAGGAGAGAGTCCGGGACTTCCTCTGGGCCAAGTTCACTGACACCGGTGCCCCCAGCTCCTACAACCACATGGATACTGACAAGCTGAGCGGGCTGTGGAGTCGCATCTCCCACCTGGTCCTCCCCATCCATCCGGTCCAGACCATCGAGGAGGAAGGCTGCCACCCACACACCAAACCCTAGAGGCGAGGGCTGCCCTGGGGAAGGGCTGGGTGGCCTGTCCTGGCCCCCGGGGCAGGCAGAGACCCAAACAAGCGCAACGCTCACTTTATAACACCCCAGTGCTATTTCTCTTCTACTTGTTTTTCCTCGCCTCCCTGGGAAGAGTTTGACAGGTAGAAGGGAATCAGGCCTTGCAGGTAACAAATTGCATGCTGCCTTCCGAGGGGCAGGGAGAGCTGACGTTTTCAGCTGCTAATTGCACATGAGGACATTATTGCCACTGTGCAGGGGGGCAGGAGGGAGAAATACTTGGCAGGTACATTTTTCTCAGCAAACACTGTCCTTGGAGCAGAATGTAGAATATAACTATTACAGCAGAAAGAGATTTCAGCTCAGTAGCTCTTCTGTTCCTCCCTGGCCCCCTGTTTGCTAACACCCAAACACACCAGTGTCACAATTTCCTTTACCTACACTATTTCCCTCCCTTTGACTGAGAATACCCATTGGGAGGTCAAATCTCCTCACGCCAACACTTTGAAGTCATGCTTCCAAAAGAAAAATCAGGACTGATGAACTGTCCTAGCTTGTGCTAGTTCAGGCTATGGCCAGTTTGTCCTGATAAAACTACTTGCACAGGCTGACTTGTACCACATGAAGACCTGATCCTAAACATAGCAAGTTCAAACAAACCTGCAATTCAAAAATCCTCACACATCAATTAAAAATTATCTCAGATTGTCAGCACCTAATTAGTTGACTGAACAGGGGAATCCTGTGGTATCACCCTTATGTCAGAGAACACAAGGCTACAACCATCTCTTGAGGTTGATGCATGAGCATAGGGCAGAAGCCATGAGAGTCATTTCCACACTTTTCTGCTGCACACAGAAGTCTGGGGGTGTCCTCAGGACCAGGGAAGGAGCGTGCGGATGAGACACTGATTCCCACCAGGACTTTTCCAGGGTGCACGGACACACTACACTTAGCCCTGGGACCATACCATTTTGCAGCCTGGCAGCCTCCCAACTTTCTTTCCCTGTTTTTGTCTGCCTCTCCCCAACTAAGTTTACTGATTAATGTAGACATTAATCTAGACATTTATGTCAAACAACAGAGACAGCACACCAGGTCACTGCTCACTAAGGACACGTTTTCCTTCCTGCCAGGCAGCTGGTGCCCTGGTCTGGTCTAAGGGTGGCTAGGGCAGAGCTGATGGTAGCTGGTAAAGATGAAATCTCTGCCATGAACACTAGGAGCCCTCAGCTAAGCAGGTTGGTTTCTTATCGTGCCTCCTCTTCTGAGCTCCATGTCCTCTTCTGAGCTCCACAAAGAGAAATTTAAGTCCTATAATCTGTGTTGCCCCTGCACACTAAATTTCTGTAAAAGTTCTATGGCAGAGCTGCTAACACAAGGAAAATCTGGGTTAAGTGCAGGTATTTAATAACACAAGAGTCAGCCCCACGTCAGCCCCTAGTGCCTACAATCATGCCTGCTAGAGAAGGAGCAGCTATAGCAAAGCAGGACTTATTTCCATCTAAACAGCATAGGCCAAGGCCTTGCAAAGGCTTATAGTTGAACAAGACACTAAGCAAGAACACTCAAGTGTTTCAAAAGCTACATTTTAGTGCCCCTTACAGCAACCAGGCCCTTATTTGACTGGGTCTCCTACCAATGGTGCCTTGTTGATCTGTCCTCACTGAGGGCTCAGCTGAGGCATGGTCACTCACCCCAATGCCTAGAATCACAGCCTGTCTCCTTCCTTCCACGTGCCTTGTCCTGTCTTGGGAGGTCTGGGACAACGAACTTGGAGAAGGGGGTGAAACAAGGGAAGAGCAGGTTACTAGTTGAAATTCTGACCAAAGAACTGACATTTTGTTTCTTCACATTGTTAATCATATGCCAACAAAACCCAGGACAGTTGCCCATTTTTTTTTTCCACATATGGTAGAATTTTACCCACCAGCCTGACCTGACTGAGCAGCCGTGGCTGCTGCTCAGTTTATCTCCAATCGCAGACTGAGTTGAGTTACTGCTGCAGAACTAAGCACTAGTGTGAGGTGGTTCATGCAGGTTATAACGATAACAAACACTGGGCTAGACAAGAAAGCTGCCTGCTGGAGTCCAGCATCACAAGGGGCCAGCCCAAAACATGCTTTTGTACAAGATAAGAGCAAGAACCAACTTGGTTGCTTCATCCCCTTCCTCCCTTTCATTGCTCTACACTACTTTGGAAAGCACCTTTACTCCTCTGTACATTTCAGCATTAGCAATGATGTAAGAACTGGCAGAGCATCAATCATGTTATGTTGACATCTGTAAGGAAATGAGTATTTAAAAAGCTGTCTCTCTAACAATTTTATGTCCTGTATTTGCAATGCATAGACAAGGTGTGCAATGGCAACTCAGTGCTGCATGAGCACATCCCTGTACGCTTCATCTACGACAACTATTCGAGTATGGACACATTCATATGACCTTTTAAAGAAAAAAAAAACAAAAAAAAACCTATTTGCATCTGTTTACTTCTGACACAAAACTTCTATTGAAAAATAAATAATGGGATTGCGGAGGAAAAAAAAAAAGCTTTCAGAATGTGATTGAGTCCTATACATTCTCTCATTTTTTTCCTCATTCATTTTAGTTCATTAAGCAAATGAGATCATCATATGAGATAAACTTCTATTTAAGTCAAGGCTAGAGGTGTGAAAACAACGTGAACATTTGTTTTTCTTATGAGAAACCCAAACAAACTCTTTTTTTTTTTTTCTCCATCTGTAGTTTGGGGCAACCATTCACAGCTTTCAAAACGAGGGCAAAACTAAAAATAAACCCACAAGCAACAGCTTATGCTGCTGAACTCAACCAAAAATGAAACGTACTGATGTTTGCATAGTATTTAATGACAACCATTAAACTGACCTCCGGACAACGTTATGGAAATACAGAAAGCAAGTATTTCATACTTCAACGTCCTTCCACTGCACGGGCCTCCATGTGCACGGGGCTGGGGGACCCCAGGGTTCTCTGTGCAGCCCCCTGAGGCCTCCGTGCGCATGAGACCAGGGGGAACCTACAGGCCTCCATGCGGCTTCATGGGGCCTTTGTTCGCACCGGTCCGGGGGGTCTATGGGCCTTGGTGCAGGCCATTCACACAGATTCGGAGAGGGCTCTACGGGCCTCCATGCCATGCCTGAGGTCCTCTGTACGGGCCTCCATGCCATCCCTATGGGCCTCCATGCCATCTCCAGAGCCTCCGAGCGTGCTGGGCTGGGGGGCCCTACAGGCGCTGCTGTGACCCTTCAGGGCCTCCATGTGCATGGGGCTGTGGGGGTCCTACAGACCTCTGTGGGGTCCCCCTGGGTCTCTGTGCGCATGGAGCCAGTGGGGAGCTACTGGCATCCATGCCGCCCCGTGGGGCCTCTGTGAGCAGAGCTCCTGAGGAGCTCAGCGGCTCAGAAAGGTAAGGGGCTTGCCAGCTTTGAAGGTGGTGGTACCCTAAGTGGTTCTCCTCACAGTCTAGATGGACCAGGTCAATGAGGAAGCTCAGTTCCATGCAGTGGAATTGAGCAGGAGTGGAGGAGCTGCAGGGACAGGGCCCTAGGGACTCTGTTTATCGTTACAGCCCGGGCAACAAGATGCCTGGAGCGCTGCGGTTGGGCAGTGCTTTGTGCCTGTGGCTTGCCTGGCTCCTTGTCACTGTGCCTGCCTGGAAACTGAGCCACTTTCACCCACTTTCTGGATGTGAGAGTGCCAAGCGCTGGCTAGAGGGTCTCCATGTCACGCTCAGTACCCCTTGACACCTCTGTGATGTCAGCAGCTAGTGCCCACGGTGGGAAGGGCACTGTGAACAAAGGCAGTTTCTGCCACAACTAGTGTCAAAAGGCAAAAGGGGCTCATTTGCATTGAATAAACAAGTGAGCGCTGCGCAGTGCCACACGGTGTGTGTAAATCTTGTCTCCTTTTGGGAGAAGAAGACTAAGGAGGCTCTTCCAGAGACACTTTTACCCAAGAAATGTCCTGTCCCAGTTCAGGGACACATCCCTACCCTGGATGCCCTCCCTGTGACCCCTTACAGTAGTCTCAAGGCCACTCACAGTTCTGAGACTGGGACCTTCCACAGCACCTCCCCTCTGAAAGCAGATTGCTCTCAGGTGCGAGGACTCCCTTAGTGGGAGAGGAAGAGCCTTTGGGTACTAATGGGCCCTAATGGCCCTGAGCAGCCTCAGGAGAAGGCTGACCCACCCCACCTGTCCCCTCTGCCCATTAGAGCACTAGATAAGTTGAGGGAACTGGAGCTGCCTCTTGCTACCTCTTTCAACTTTTTCTTCTTGCCTCTGATTTTTGACACAGTCTCTCATAACATCCTCATAGGAAAGCTCTGGATGGGTGGGTTAGATGAGTGCACAGTGAGGTGAGTTGAGAACTGGCTGCATGGCAGAGCTCAGAGGATTGTGATGATACCAAACTGGATGGAGTGGCTGACACTCCAGAGGGCTGTGCTGCCCTTTAGAAGGACCTAGATAGGTTGAAGAGCTGGGCAGAAAGAAACCTGATGAGGTTCAACAAGGACAAGTGCAGGGTCCTGCACCCGTGGAGGAATAACCCCGGATATCAGTACAGATGGTGAGTTGACTTGCTGGGAAGCATCTCCACAGAGAAGGATCTGGGAGTCCTGGTTGACAAGTTAACCATGAGGCAGCAGCGTGCCCTTGTGGCCAAGAAGGCCAAGGTGATCCTGGCCTGCACCAGGAGGAGTGTTGCCAGCAGGTCGAGGGAGGTGATCCTGCCCCCCTCTGCTGAGCTCTGGGGAGGCCGCACCTAGAGTATTGTGTCAGTTCTGGGCTCCTCAGGATAAGAAGGATGTGGAACTTCTAGAGAGAGTCCAGCGTAGAGTGACAAAGACAATGAAAGGACTGGAGCATCTATCTTATGAGGAAAGACTAAGCAAGCTGGGTCTGTTTAGTCTAGAGAAGACTGAGAGGGGATCTGAGCAATATGTATAAAACCTGAGGGGAGAAGGT